GCGACTTATGAATAATTGCTAGTCTTCAGTCGCGCCTATGTCGTCTCTGATCCTCATGCAACTCATGCGTGTTATGTCGAACGTGATGCGACTAGATCAATTGCAATTGGCAAGCAGGATGGCTTTATTGTAATCTAGGCCATTTGGGATTATATCGACGAAGGTCGCCGGTACTACATATTCTTGGTTTGCTGATTTTATATCGCCTGATTTATGAAATTCGATGCATCTGATTATGTTTCTGCTATTCTTTCGCTTTTTCAAATGCGTTTGTCTTCAAAAATCACGATGACCTTAATCCTTCTGGTAATATATCGATAAAGTAGTACGCGCAGGTGAATACGCGATTATTGCATGCCAATTGGTTAACACGGAATTCCCATTTAGACATGGAGAATCACTATCTAAAAAAAATGTTACGTCTCCGAGTCGTGAGGAAAAAAAGAGCGTTTCGTCGCGACGCGTATGAATGAAAAAGGAAAAACGTTATGTGTGCGTTGTATCGCGATATCGCGCGCTTCCCTTTTTAAATTCCAATCGTATGCAACCGGTTCCCTTTATGACCATCTAAGACTCCCGGAGGATTAAATTAAAGCCTGATCGTGTACTCTAATCGCCGGCAATCTTGAATCACGCGGCGCTGAATCGTAGAAAATAACGCAGACTCCGCGCCGCGGATGAAACAGTAATATTTCATCCCGTCCAATTGCTATCTTATCGTTATTACAATTATTGCCGATTCTAGACAGATACTAATATAACAGGTGATCATGCTTAAGGGTCCAGAACTGAGTGCTCTCGTTAGTGATGTATATGTCACTTGACATATACTTCTATTTTGTGTAGACGTGTCTCGAGTTGCACTAAAATAAAATTACATCCGAGTAAAACTACACTGAAAGAAAAAAATTGACATTTTTAGTTGCAACAGCCAATTAAAAATGCTACGCCATCTAATTTTACCATCTAATTTATTGTAACAGCCAATCTTTTCTATCAATGTACATACTGTGCTATTAATACTCGGTCATTATAATTAGATTTAGGACATATAATAATTATTAATTCCACTTGAATTCCTAATATTTAACCGTGGATATAATTCTATAATTAATTTACATTAACTTAATTAATTTATATTAATTCAAAACTTAATTTATTAATGTTTCTCATCCGCTTAATAAATCCGTGTAATAAATCTAAAAAGTAGCTATACATAAAATTATATGGATATAGAACAATTTCATTCAAATATAAGATAAGTAAATACATACTTTGTTCAATGAATATTAATTTTTTTTGCAAAAGATATTTGCCTTGAGTTAGACATTCAAATACAATCAAGATGAGCCCGTAAAAGATATATTCAATATCACGTACAATCAAGTCCGATGGAGCATGTCGAGCATAATTCAACGAACGAGCGCAAAGGTTAATAGTGATTATACATTATTATACACGATACTTCTTATTTCGTACAAATGAGATTAGACGACTTACTCTCGCACACCTGCGGCGAATGTATCTAGGATATGAGTTTATTCACTTGCCCGGCGTAATCTGTGGTAACGTCATTAAATTACCAATAGCGCTGATATATATTGTCGTCACAAAAAATGAAATAATGAAGTAATGGATAAGTCGCGTGCTACAATCGACAGTGATTAATGTTTCAAATGGTTAGACATGTTTGCTTTTCAATTCTAGAGTCTATTAAAAGGGATAAAAACTGAGCTAATATTGCTGGTGAACATATCATTTACGATATTTTTGTGAAATATTTGCGTGTAAAGTTAACATTCTGTATGTGTATGTGATAGTAACTCAATTCACGGAAATGTTATTTCATAATTATTGTATCACTGAATCTTTACATGACAGTTCGATTATAATCTTGATGATCTATAGTCTTTTTATTCCTTACCGTTTAATACCGTGTCGTTCGTTGACATAATACGAAACCGTTAATTAGTTTCAGTCGCAAAATCCGGTTTAGAATAATTTCCTTATCAATCTTGGGATTAACTAGTATATTGATTTATAGATAGAAACTATTAATCTGTCATGATTATTTTTAATGATAATAATTTAATGATTTTTTGACGTTTTACTAACGGATATAAATAGTCTGCATAAATTATTATTAATACAAACAGTATTCTTATTTTATTATAAAGGTTTAGTTACCAAGTTTGCAATAGACTTTTGGAGAAAAACATCTTACATTTACTTTTTATTAAATAGTTTTAATAAAAAATTCATATATGTTGTTCAAATATTTATACATTGAGAAAAAATAATTTTAAAAAATTAACTAATATTATAACATTGGGAAAACGAATATAAAATAATTTCCTGTTTGCTTTGTAAAAAGAATTTTAAAAAATTCTTTACATATAACTCATAAAGCGCTTATCTGTTTCAAAGTAAACAAAGAATTATTGTACCTACATTTAAAATCACGTATAAATAATAGTAGTGTTAATATCAAATTCAAAATAGGTATCTAGGATAGATCTTAAAAATAGGAAAGGTAAATACAACATTCAAAATACACTCGAGATATTTAATAATAAGATATATTAAAAGTGGCGCGCTGTATGAATTTTTGGTAGTTTCGGAGCGCCCTGAGAGAACTCAAGGGAGGCCACCGAACGTATAATTACTTTGCTCGTCCGAGTTTTTATCTGTCTCTGGTTCGCCCAGTTTTTCTTGGCAGAGCGGCTTGTGGTCGCGAAATCCACAGAGTTTGCCGGCCGGTGACGGTCAACGACCAGAAAATACGCTCGATTGTATTATAGAAGAAGAATTCTTGCCTATACGATTGATCGGAGTCAATGGGTATTTGACGACCCGCAGACCTACATTTTCTTCAAGCTGTTGTGTGCCATTGCTCTCACCGTCGTTATTATCCAGAAAGGAAACGACAGATTTTCAAAATTTACAAGATTCTAAAAGATTTGGATTTCTTTGTTTCATCTAGATTCAGTCAGTTTTGCACAGGCCTAATTAAACGAATTGTTTTAAAATAGTATTTTTCTGTTATACCAAGTTTTGAATAGGGCTGTACTTTTATTTGAAAAATAATGTTTATAAAACAGGTATTTTGTATTTTGTGTTTCAGCAGAAACACATAAAAATATTATGTATTTTGTATTTTAAATACTGAAATTGACAATGAATCTTATTATTGAAATTATAAAATATGTAATGCATAAAACTTTCAATCTTTTGATTTTAAATACAAAATATGTATCTAATACTTTTATGTGCTCCGTTGAAATACAAAATACACTTGTATTGCAAAAACTGTGAAAATTTAAAAAAAAAGTATTTCACATACGTGTCCAGTTCTGGTTTTAAAATAATCGATTTTAATTTGTGTGTAGAATTGCATATATTTTCTTTTCTACAAAAGATAATAATTTAGGATAACAAATTAGATTTTGCATTTTTATTCTATTTTTTACTTTTTTATTTTTATTTACTCATGTCTTATTTTTTGCTTTTTGTCAAATCTTTCTTGATTCTCCTGACCTTAATTTGAATAATATAATAGTAGCTTCAAAGGTGAAGGCTTGAGAAATGAAAAGATTGTAAGTGAGGAGAGAGAGAGATAAAATAAAGATTTTAAAGAATTTAAGATGCAATCTGTAATTGTTGTAGTTACGACCGTGAAATTAACAGTAAAAAAACTAGTTGCTGACGCATATAGTAAATGATCAGCGGATAAGCCGCTTTAATCGGCATGAAGCGAATTACGTTCTTTATATTTGCTCTTCTCGTGCTTTGAACATGATGTTCTTATTTTCAACAGTTAATCATACCGATAAGGTTGCTGAAGGGATCGTCGGCTTGAAGTGCGAGCGCGCCCAACTATATATCGCAAGATGAATATGCCTGTCCGATGGAACCCGCTTCCGATCGTGGTTCGATCCGGTTTCGCGTTTCGGCGAGTGATTCGTTCCGGGTACTCTCTTTCTCTCTGCCCGGATTGATGAAGAAAGGAATCGAAAGACTTTACCGTTACATTCATTCAACTCGCGCCGTAATTACTGTTGCCACTCGCGGCTACGGACAGTCGGCCGGCGCATCGTTGAGATCGTTCCGCGGATGCTGCAGTGCCGTCGCTATAATACCGATCGTATTTATAGAGAGCCCGGCTTATGGCTGTGGCGTTTAAATCCCACCGATAGAAATACGCGTGAGTTACTTATGATGCCAATCGCGGACGTTATGCGAGAAAAGAGCCGAGCAAGATTATGGCGCCGCCGCTTGCGGGTACCAAGTGAATTACAACGGTTTGATAATGCGGAACGGGTTCCATGTGATATAATGCGGAACGGATGCGAGCATGCATTACGCTTCACGAACCTGGATGATGAACTTTATCGCTTGTCGAATTATAATCTCTTCCACGTCTCATACACATTACGACTCTCATATTTTCCCAAGTTTAGGCTTGATTCTGATTCCATTTAAAAGATAATTATTTTAATACCTTCGAACCTCTGACGTGATCATTAAAATATTTAATTATGTAAATTAAGTTTTTTAATATGATGACGTCAGAGAGAAGAACAAATTAGCTTCCCCGGGATATGAAGGTCTTCTCCGAGAAAATTTTTCGTTTTCATAGATTTAAAAGTTAACGAAAAAAGATGATAGCGATGATATATTATCTTATTACCATAAGTGCAGCTTTATTATTGTTATTTATCGAGAAATTAATGGACTATTAAAGCCACGCGAGGAGGAGGCAGATGCAACATGTCTCGTTAACACGCAGCGCTTCTTCTACGAAGAAGTTCCATGAAAAACTAATCACGAACCTCGTAATTATTTCTAAGAAGTCGTTTACGTCCGAATAAGCAGTGAATCGTAATTTTTTGTTAGAGCCAAACCTGTTTTGTTATTTATTCGCGGCTACTGTACGCCAGTTGTACAAGTGTGTTATACAAACGGATGAGGAGGAAACGCGTTACAATATTTGAAGGTTATTTTTGGATATTGATACTCATAACGTTTATTTGATAATGATTTGGTAATGATTTATAGCATTCGAAAAATCTACGTTGTTTTTTGTACTATACATGCATGTGTATTAAACATGAAGGCAGCATAAATCATTAATCTCAGCGATGCAACATGTTTACGTGATTGTGTATAGTCTGCTCATTTTTTTCTTCCCCTGAAAAAAGGAAATGATGTTTCAATCGATGCAAATGTAAGTTAATTGTCTTGGCTGATGAATTGTCTTGGCTAATATATTTACCAGCTTCCAGCGCTAGCCTGGGCTGTCGCGGAGGCAGAAGCATACCCACCTCCACCACCGTATCCGCCACCGTGTCCGCCACCTCCACTTTAAATGTAGAAAAATTAAATAATAATAATTACAGAATCATAAATTTTAATAAAGAATTAAGTATAAATCTATAATGAAGACCGTACAAGTATTGATCAATTGCAAAATATTACCATACCGTAAAGTATTGAAACCGCATACAAGTATTGATCAGTTATAGAATATTACCCGCAACAGCCGCCGCGTCCGCGATGACCACCATGATGATGATGTCCTGTATGAGAAACAGGTACGACTAAAACTGGTATCACTGGTACTGTATAACCTTGTTGCCCTAGACAAAGCGTGCCCCTATTATGCGCAATTATGATGGAGTTTAGCAATAGCAATGTATATTAATATATAATTAGGATATTATGTGATATTTTTTAGACGTTATATTTATTACTGTTATTATAAATTGCAAATTTCAGCTGAAAAAAGCTAAGCAAGCAAAAAATATTTGTTATTGTCAATTAACGTCTTAATCAAAATTAATATTTTTTTTATATGTAAGAGATTATTTAATATTATGATTATTATTACTATTAATATTATTTATTTAATATTTTATATTTAGTTAAAAAAATAAGTATTGTTTATATAGCTTCTTCTTTTCTTCAATTCGCTCGATGCTGCATCCTGAAATTGTCATTAGTGTTTAAGCATTATTTTCAAACGAGTTCCTTGAAAATACTTATGATGCGGAAGTATGCCATTAATAATGTATTTCTCATTTGATAATTTATTTTTTATTTAACATAATGCATGAAAAAATTGAGGAAAATATGCAACAGTTGTCGTATCTAAAGGAATCAAAAGGAAAATTAATTTAATCGAACATGCGTTTCAATTCTGAAAAATATGCACAACAAATTGTTCATTTTTACAATTATCAATTAATGCAATATTTGATGCGAATTCTGCATAACTATAATATTACAGATATTATTACAGATATTATTACACTAGTATATATAGCTAATTTTTTGTCATTTATTTTTACAGCTTATTTTTCCGAAAGTTTTGTACCTATTTAATGCTAATTTTTTATTTAGAAAAAAGTCAGTTTTAAGTTGATAAAAGATCTGTAGTACAAAGGTTTCAGGCATACTTCAACACTGAAGTTAATAGATAAGTATTCATCGACATTCGTCGATTATACTTCTCTCCTTTGTAGTCATGACTATAATTTACCTTTGCCACCATCACCAGGACAATGCCCACCTCCGCTCGAATACCTATCTCATCCCCCTCCACCACCATCACTTGGATAATGTTCACTTTCACTCGAATACTCACCATATCCTCCACCATATCCTCCACCATGTCCTCCACATTTGTAACAGTAGGATCTCTTTTGACGAAATTTCTTCTGATCACCCTTCAAAGCCGAGTCTATCATACTCTGTGCCTCCATCTTTTCCAATTTCATCTTAAGCACTTTCGTTTTGCTATTGAGATCGATCTTGTCGACCTTGAAACCTTCGTCTTTCAATTCTCCCGCAAATTTGTCGAGGTCGACAGGTCGATGATTTTCTGACTCTTCATTTTCATCATCTTCTACTACTAGGATGACAGAAACTAGTGGCTCTGCAAGCACATATTTTTTATTCAAATCCCTTCTAAGAATTCTCTTTAGCTCCATTCGCTCTTGCTTATCATTTCTTGCAAGATACTCATTAATTTACAAATAGTAAATGTCAAATGAAATTTATGAAAAGATACGCCGATGAGATATGAGACATCATATGTCATTCGTTGATTTATACTCACCTATTATGTCAGGTAACGTTTCTACGACTTCATTTTGAAACATTTCCTCCGATACATTGCTGCTACTATTTTTTACAGCATACAAATTAATTATATAGATTGTAGCATAGTGTTCCTTCTCGTCTGAAGATGATGCGGGCGGTTGCAACTCGGTCGATAATGTGCGTTCCTCGTGTGCATTTACAGCTGTCTCTGATAATCGCATAAAAAATAGATTGATCATTACGTGAACAGAAATAAGAAACTAATCGATTGATGTAAATTGGCGTATGAAGAATTTTAAAGTGACGATTTCATTTATATGCATGCTTCCTGACATCATTGTTATTTTTTTAAAATAAACGTGTTCTTATCAGCTGCATGTGAATAAAAGCTCGCTTTAAATTCTACAAAAAAACATTCAAATTTGTGACAAATGGATAGAAAATTGTTTGTAACAACGTTGACAATAAGATTAAATTAAACATTCAGAATATATCAAATATATATCAAATGAGTATTATTTGTATAAAGAAAATAATAATTCTGCAAATTTGCAAAAAAAAAAACATTAAAATAGTAACGTTATCTAATGGCGAATTCGATTGGAAGCACATCTAGTCACACATCTTAAAGTTGTACACTGATTTAATTTGAATATAAAAATAAAATGCAAATATTTCGAATTATAAAATATATATTTTATCTAATAGTACAATAAAATGTATTGAGTATTTCAGGAGATTTAATCAGGAGATTTCTATGTTATATATAAACATATCTTTGTATTATTTTGTGTACGACGGCTTTAATATGCGTCCAATCGAATTCGCTATAAGTAAGAAAAATTTGCGTTAGTAAACTTTGTAAATTTACAAGTATTGTTTATGTCACTAAAGATTACCATAATTAAAGTTAATACATTTAAATGCTAAATTCGTTTAATTATTATTGAAATGTAAAAACTAAAAAATTTTTTTTTAATTATTCCAAAGAAGTAAAATGTACATTGTATACGAAAAGATTTTTATTAAATAATGACTACAACTTAAATGATTACAACAGTGCATTATTAAGAATTTCATGTACAATGTGATCTGTTCTCTCACCTGGCGAAGTCGGCAATCCGAAAATGACCGTGACAAATGTACACAGGAGCACTAGGCTAAGAGCGCGAACTGCCATGGTGTCAGGATTCGATGTTCTTAAGATGCACTGCATGCGAATCCTTTAATCTCGCCGCTTTTATAGTCATCTATCCGACACGCATTTGATCCTGATGTAATTATGTAACGTTCCACCTCCATCGCTTTTCTCTGCGCGTTGCACACCACACCGCGTCGAGCAACCACTGATTTTTGGATTTTCCGAGGGAGTCCCCGGTAGTATGCGCGTGCGCTCTGATACTTTTCTTCGAGGCAAAGATGCAATCATGTGCATCAAGAACACCGAATAAAATTCAAAATGCAAAAAAAAACAATGCACTTGATAATTTAATATACATAGCCTGTAATTTCTGTGTGTATATAATTATCTTGTGGTTTTTTATCGTTGATCATTCTGCTGATAATGTTGTAAGAAATTTATCAAACGAAATTCTTTATGTTATATCATTAGAATAAGAGAGTTCTCTTTTGCCAGCAAACGAGAATGGATTGAAATGAATTGAAATAGGTTCAGATTTTCAGAAATATTGATTCACGAATATTAAAATGAATGCTTTTCAATTCCTGAATGCATGTTTATTCATTTACAAGAATTGCATGGAACATATCTCTATGCCTTTCAATCTAAAAATAATATTAACTTTTTTTGTATATTGTGAATACTATTCAATTCAAAATTTTAAATAGGAAATGCAGTTTTTCAATCCAATTGTATCCAATTGAATCCAATTGAATCCAATTGAATCCAATTAAATTAAAAAAAAGTATTCGCTATTTAAAATACGCATTCGGTTAGAAAAAAAATTCAATTCATTTTAATCTATTCTCGTTTGCTGGATTATCTTAAAAATAATATTAATGAGAACAAAATAACTGGTGTATGACGTATAAAAGTTAATAGCGCAGAAATTAATAGTCAATTAGCCATTTTTCATTACTTCTAAGGCGTTGTTAGATCATAAGGAAACGATGAAAATAATAGGAACGAATGAGAATCTGGTTGTCAAAGAGCTACTAAATGACTACTTGGAAATTGCATCAACTAGTAATTATCTTTTCTGAACGGTGCTTTATGCAGGACAGATACAAATAGGTATCTTTATTTATTCATTAACTCATTATTAACCTAACCTAGTAATAATCTTTAATTATTCACATTTTTTTATTTAGTATTATATTTATCGCATATATTTTAACATACTTACGTAGCCTTCAGAAATCGTAGCAACGTCATTTCATTACTTTGGCTAATAGTAGAATGATTCCCCGAGCTATTATTGTAATTAAAGAGTTTCCATACATTAAACGTGAAATGACGTTTGCTAGGATTTCCCGAACTCGAGCACGTATATTTTTTCTTAATTAGTGTTGAAATTGCAACATTCTCTCACGCTACTTAATAAATTTACATTTCGATACAAAAAAAACTATGAGATTTTGCAATTCTGCAATCTCCGTTTACTTGTAAATTAATTATGATTTTTTCTTAACATTGCTATACTGAATCTTCTTTCATTAAATATCTCTATGGTGTATTAATTTTGAAATTAATATTATTTTTATCAATTTATATATCTTATTTTAATCTTATATTTTATTTTAATTTAATACAAAATGTTGATTATATATTGATTAGTGTCTAGAATTACGATCAAGTCGCATATGCAAACCATCTGGTTAATATTTCTCTGTTTACTTGGATTAATATTTCTTCATTTGCTCGTAAATTAATTAAGCAACTCTCTTAACATTGTTATTTTGAATCATCTTTGATTAAAAACTTATAATGTATTATAATTTTGAAACAACTATTATTTTTATCAATTTATATTTCTTATTTTAATGTTTCTATTTCATTTTAATTTGATATACACTATTGATTTTATAGTAATATTTTATAGTAGCGTTTAGAATTACGATCAAGTCGCACGTGCAAACCATCCGGTTAATATTTCCTGTTTGCTTCGTGTGGTTAAAGTCGTTGCAATCACGTTATTGCGTGTCAATTTTGCTTGTGTGTAAATTTTCGCATATTCTATTTTATCATCGATCATGAATGTATTACCTTGTTTATAAAAACATCAATACAAGTTTCTTAAGTGCATGATGTAATATTGTATTTTTTTTTTTTTGAGATTGATTTAACGACAAAAAATTAATTCAATACGTACTTTTATGATCAATAATTGTGCTTTGAGAAATCTCGCGTTTTGTAATTTACATTTATATAGATAAGATGGAATTAGAAATAATAACAATAATAAGTTACGTACAATTATCGTAATAAATGATGTAATATTAATTTTTAATGTTATAAGACAAATATCTAAAATATTAAATAAAGCAAAATTATTAATTGATAATATTATAACAAAAATAATCACACATTATAGCCTCGTTTCTTTTTGTGTAAAATATACAATATTAATATTTTTATTGTCGCTGCTCATTCTTGCATTGCAGTTTTTCGTATGCGTCATATGAACGTTGCAATATATCAATTAAAATATATCTTTTAACACAACACTTTCTACTGACGTCATTAATAACGCTCATCTAAACGGAAATAATTAGATTTTTTGAAAAAATATGATAGCGCTTGCAGATTTGATTTTCTGGGATGATCCGTAATAGTACTTGCAGGTATTGTTACTAAGAAGGATCTAGTATCGTATGTAGTTATTCGAATTGTGCGTAACTAAAACCGCATGAATCTTCAATAACACAAATCATCTTCCTGTTGACTATAAAAGAATGCGGAGTTCATTTAGCCTTGGCTGAGATCGAGATAAATCGAATTTAGAAATTAATCGTTTTGATGATGGAGAGTCGTGACGAAATCCCTTTGAAGGAAGATGCCGAAGATGTCGAAGAAGGATCTATTTATTAACGGGCCATACATTTCGTAACAATCTATTAATGCGATATTCCATATTTTCAACATATAAAGGAAGAATGAAGCTTAACATGTATCATCACTGCAAATAATTTATGACTACGTACCGTAGATCATTGTACGTACCGCGAGTATGCAAATCTATATAATTGCTATTATAGTATAAAAATATTATAATATAAAAATATGCAAAATAAGATTATTTTGAAAATATTAAGAAATAGTGTGTATCTCATTCGTTTATATATTTTTCTCACGATCCGAATCAATATCGGCGATTGCATTGAGAAAAAAATATAGTCAATTTTAATAAATAATATTTAGTTCAATACTGTCAACTAAACATTTACTTACAGTAAATAAATATTTATTCAGTAAAAAAGAATAATTATCAAATCAAAATAACATTTTTTGTATCAAATATATCTTTATATTAATCAATATTTAGTTTGGCAGTATTCAACTAAATATTTATTAAAATTGACTATATATTTTTTTCAGTGTGCATATTGATTTAATTTTTTATAAACGAATCATAAAAACTGATGATTAATAGATAATAAGCTTATTACTACAATTGTTTTAATTTACACACGCAATTGCATATTTTTATAAAGATTTTTATCTTAAATACTTAAGTAGTACAACAGGAACTTATTAATCTTGTACTCTCTAAAAAATATCGGTTAACACCTATGTGATGTCTATGTAATTCTCACTATATTGGTGTTAATATTAACATCAATACAGTGAGAATATAGACACTACTATTTTTTTTTAGAGTGTAAAGAATAAAGTGTTTTTTAAATAATGTTTTTTAAAATTAAATTATTTATTTTATTTTATATAAAATAAATAAACGATAATATATATATATATAAATATATGTGCACAATTATATAAATATATGTGCATAATTGTTGAGCACGTGTGGACAATTATTATACAGTTCAAAAAATTAATTATATACTATAATCACGGGGATTTTCTTTACTATTTTAACAAATTAATCATTCGGCTCGGTAATTTATTGATAACATCCTATGAATTCCTTTGGAAAAAAAAAGATGCTAATTATCGTTATATTAGGTGTAGTAAAAAGAAATCCATTATTTTTGCATGAAATTGAATGGAAAAATAATGAATTTCTTTTTACTACACCTAATATTATATCTGATACATTATGCCACAATTATCATTAGTATGTTATTATCAAATAAAAATCTATTGATAGTTTTAACCTTATGCTCCGACAAATATCAAGTTTGCTCTTCGTTAATTGTAAAGTATAAATAATAATCGAATCTCTCGCAAATAATGCCCAGTTTCACGATAATTATTTTTCGTCTTTTGTGAGTCAAACTAAGACGATCAGTGAGTCAGTGTTGAGACTTTGAATCACAAATATGCCAAGTTTCTCATAAATATCGTAAATTTAATATGATATCGTTACTTTTCTGATTTTGTTATATTCTAGTGTGTGTGTGTGTGTGTGTGTGTGTGTGTGTATATATATATAGAGAGCTATTTTTTGCTCTATCTATTTCGTATCCCTTTATCAATTTTACAATTTTTGTAGATAATGATATTGTGAAAGAAGATGAATTATATTGATAGAGATAAACATTTATATACACACAGAACTTGATTTTCGTTTTTTATTAATTGCAAATCTTTTTATCTATATATGTATTGAAGAGTTCTTTCTTCGCGCAATATTTCTAAGAAATTCGAATTCATGGAAAGATAAGTGCTATTTTTTTTTAAATCCGTATATGATTAATTGTTATCTTTGATGATATACGAGCTGAGGAAATAGCATGTTACTACGTCATATAATATATAATTTGTTAAAAAATTGACTTAAATAAAAAATTATCTTAATTGATAAACAATTCGAAAAATAAATGCGAGATATTTATCATCATTTAAAACATCGGTTTCTTTATATTAGAGGATACCTTAAAGGATTACCTTTTCGATCTTGACCTTGATACATGTCATAGAAGTGTGAGGGTATTAATCAAACGATAGCGTCGCGATGTCTGTGCATAAAAATACAAAATGCTTGATGTGTGAACATCATGGCATATATATTTTCGTTGTCGTTGTCAATATATGTTCTCATTTTTTTATAAATTAACTCTCATACACTTTTCGAAATGTACTTATATAAAAC